CTGGACAGGAACAGGATGTCCAGTTTTAAAAAAAAAAAAAACAAAAAAAAAAACGTCTCACATTTTTAAAATTCCTTTTTTATTGTTCTTCTTTTTCAGTTGTGACATTTAATAAAACATCCCAGAAGATGTTTGTTCTGTATTGTTAAATGGAATTCAACACCCGAAAGAAGCTTGTGAACCGAAAAAGTACCTTTCTTCCCACAGATAATGAGCACATTTACATGGAACTGGATCAGAAACTGTCCAAGTACTGCCCCAAAGAATGGAAGAGGGAAGCCAGCAAGGTAACCTTGGCGAAACCTACACTGTATTCGCGATTACTGACTGAGCAGCGCACCAGGATGGCCGAGTGGTTAAGGCGTTGGACTTAAGATCCAATGGACAGTAGTCCTCGTGGGTTCAAACCCCACTCCTGGTATCCTTTGCCTATTTTCACTGCTCCACCTAAATTATGCGAGTGTGTAACATGTTTTAAAAACAGCACGTGGGGGTTTTTAGTGTGCAGTGCTTTCTCACTGTTGCGTCGCCTTAGGCACTTGTTCAAAGAAAAAAAGCTCCAAACGACATCAACTCGTCAGGTCCTTAACATCAAACGAGGCAGCAGACAAAGCAGAGCGTGTAAAGCAATAGGCTTGAAAATCAGGAAACCCAATCCAGTCCATTTAAAAAGTGACACATGTGTTCGAGCGTGAATGTACAATCATTTCATTCCAGACTTGAAAAGGATGAAATGGTTTCATTATCCATTTAAAAAAAAAAAAAAAAAAAAAAAAAAGATCAGATTTGTAATTGCCTTTAGATGTCACAAGATGGTGGTCGCCTGACGAAGCTCAGAGAATAATGGAGCGATGGTTCCTCCCCAAAAATCCGGGAATAGGAAATTTCGTCAATGTCGAACTGCAAATACGTACGGGAACATTGGAACTGGTCTGCATTGTCTTTTCTGAATCCCAATAATAATAAAAAAAAAATAATATAAAATGTTTAGTTTTTTGATCAATATTTTTCATTTAATTTTTTACAAAGATTTATTGCTAGTTGATTGTTTTTTCCAATTTCGTGTTACATTTTGATCTTTACTGTCGTCATTCTCAAAGTGCTCCCTCTGGTGGTATGTGAAAGAATCACTGAATGAAGCGATTAAAACCGTGCAGCATGTTTTTGTGGCTAAAATATACATTTATTTTCAAAACCCAGTACAGTAGAGCTCAGTTATATGCCAACTGTGTGACTGCATTATGATGTTGCGTCATTGTGGTTGGTGCTTAGAGAGCTACGCACTGTAGTTTTTGTGATGGCACTTGGTGAACCACTGCTGCATTTAGTTACTAAACTGAACTGCAATTGTAAAACTAACCCAGACTCCAATGCGCTGTTGTCAAGTACGTAAAAGGCTAAAAGGTAAAAGAAAATGTTTTTTTTTTTCATCTCCTTTCATCGTCTGTAGACAGTTCTTTATTGTCGGAGGTACTCTAGCACGGAGCCAGTCATGTGAATTTAAATGTGAAATTCATCCTTTTGAAAGAGAATAAACCTTGGTGCCTTCGACAGGGAATCGACCAGTTTGGCCCTCCGATGATCGTCCACTTCAGAGCTCAGTATTACGTGGAGAACGGCCGCTTGATCAGGCAAGTCCGGCCTTCTCTTCTCATTGCGTGAGCCAAGCAGCTCGCTAACATGCAATGCTACGTCTTGTGTTTTTAGTGACCGCGCCGCCAGATACTACTACTACTGGCACCTGAGGAAACAGGTGCTGCTCTCGCAGTGCATCCAGCGGGAGGAGGCCTACTTCCTGCTGGCTGCCTTCGCCCTGCAGGCCGACCTGGGCAACTTCAAACGGAACAAGCACTTTGGCAAATACTTTGAACCCGAAGCCTACTTCCCCCCTTGGGTGAGTGCGCCAAACAGGCATTGGCCCCTTTCCAACCACCCCCACCACACACACGCGCACAAACACACACATATGGCCTCTCGAGGCTTTTCCACAGTTTCTCAGACACGATTCATGCGACTCTCACCCCAGCAAAGTCTGATCGCGGGCGTCAGTTGTGGCTGTAGCAGTTCACGCACGAAGGTGGTTATTATGTGTTTATTTTGGTACCGTTCCTTCGATGAAGTGCACCGGCGGCTGTGTCTATCATTGACCACTTGTAGGGCAATTAGAATACCTTTTAACGAGAGGTGGTAGGCTATTTTCAGGGCTGTCGTGGGTCCTTCGAAAGTCTTTAAAAGTCACTGAATCCACAAATCGAACAACAAGGCCTTAATGCGAGTTAAATTCCCTTCAGCCAAAAACGTGGGCCAAGCATCATGTCACATTTTGATGAGCATTTCGAGGCGATGCCCATTCATTGCAGCGCTTCATTCATCGTGCTGTTCCACCACATTGGAGCACAATGATACAAAAAAAAAAAAAGTGGGCCAGCGAGTTTTATTTTTGTCGCTAGAAGTGGAACACAATTCTTGTGTGTGTTTTCTCGGGTCATGGAACCACACCCGTCTGATTGCTCCACACTTCCTGCAATCTGTCTCCTTATCGCAACTCCCAACAGGAAATGACAAACAAAAGCAAAACCTCAACATACGAATTACCCGAGGTCACATGTTGAAACCTGCCGCGGGCCCCCCTCGTCCCCTTTCGCTATCCCCATGTTGCGTAAATAAACACATCTTACGTCTCCCCGCCACATCCTCTCGCTCAGGTGATAGCCAAGCGCGGCCGCGACTACATCCTGAGACATATCCCCAACATGCACAAGGACCAGTTTGCCCTCACTGCCTCCGAGGCGCACCTCAAGTACATCAAGGAGTGCGCACAGCTTGATGACGTCACCGTCCATTATTACCGACTCTACAAGGTGAGCTGCCATCACACAGGGCAAAAAAAAAAGTCTCAAAGCTATGCCTGAAAAGACACAGGGGAGTCTGCCGTCTTGGTTTGAAACGGCCATCTTTGCCTGGTAGTGCACTCTGCATTTATATTTCACTCACCTTATTTAATTCACCCATAAAGCATAAAATCTGGGATGACTCGACCCACTAAAGAGTCTCAAGGCATACACAGTAAGTCTGCCTTTACTTTGAAGCGGCCGTTTTGGCTCGATTACCTCATAAGAATTTAGCAAAATCCATCCACAATCCAGAATCCATCACTGACATGGCAAGTTTGTTGTGAAATGGCCATTTCGGTTTCATGTTGCCCATTTCCTTTACTTGTACATTTTGTGCAATTGCTCCTGAATGAGAAACACGTATGCTAGACAGGTGGATGGCTGCATGGTCAAATATGAATCCTTTCTTTCTTTCCTTTTTTTTAATATATATATCTGCTGACGACATTATTTTGATTTAGGACAAGAAGGAAGTGGAGGCTTCGCTCACTTTGGGCCTGACTTTACGTGGGATTCAAATATTCCAGGTACAATCGTTCATTCGGGAAGGATTTGCCGCCTTCTGCATGTCCAACCGTTTAATCCCCAAGCAAAGCAGACAGCACCCCCACTCATCATCCCTCCTTTTCCGCAGAACGTCGGCTCCGTGAGGCAGCTTTTGTACGACTTCCCGTGGACCAACGTGGGGAAGCTCGTCTTCGTGGTGAGTCACACACGCCATCGCGTCATCTTAAACCTCTCCTGGCGAGGCTTCGTTTCTCTTTCACGCTTGTTGTGCCTCAGCCCTGTGTGAGGCCCCTGGAACGAATCGGGGATTTAGGAAGGCTTTTCCTGCCCACACACACACACACACACACACACACACACACACACACACACACACACACACACACACGCACACACTAGACCTACTTATAAAATGTGACACTATATGGACTGAAGTACACAGGCACACCTGCTTATCACTGATTTTATTCAGCACAAATCCTGGCTTCAATTGTTCACTTCCGACTTTGTTGGAACAGTTCAGGAAAGGCCATTTTTCCGTGCACAGTGCACAAAGCAACGCTCATAAGTACAATGGGATGAATTTGGAGTGGAAGAGCCTGTCAATCAAACACTTAAACTGTAAAAACAAAACATGTAGGACGGTTACAATTGAATATTTTTGGAATTGATTACGCTATCGACTATTACGGCGAAAGAATACTCGAGGAATCGGATGCATTTTCAGTCATGCCAAACTGACTTTGTTTGGCTGCAGTATCAACTTCTGTCAATAGAGGGTGCTAATAGGTTTTTGAAAATGCAAAGCGTTGTTTGCAAATCGTAGAATGGATGCTAGTAGACATTGCAAACATCTGATTGGCTGATGTACATGCTGCCGACAAACTCTCAATGCAAAACTTTTGTCAACCTCATTTGGCGGCTAACTTCTTCAACACGGTCAACGTTTTTGCGCCTCGATTTCCGACTTGCATTTGTTCTTTGATCACGCTCGAAACTCAAAACGTTTGTATCTCAAATCATCTTTCCCCTTTGAAACAAAAGGAAATTCCATTTATCTGTTCTTGCCCCCCCAGAAAAGACCAAAAAAAAAAACATGTTGAGAAGCCACTCTATTATCTTGCACAACATACAAACCAAAATTTGCTTCCTTGCCATAGATTGGTCAACAGAAAACCTTATTCCGTTTCCTCACTAGCCATTTTGCCGAAGAAGCATCATTCTCTGTGAGCGTCTCTCCCCGTGATTCAAATTCCATCGGCAGCATCCCCTAAAATAAATGTCCGCTTTTACACCTCTTTTGTTTTGTACTTTTGCATTTGACCCAGTTGCGCGGCGTCGACGAGACGCTCGGCTTCTGCATTTCCTCCACCGCCTCTCCCGAATATGAGTCCCGGCTCGGCGGCCGCACCCACGCCTTCGGCTCGTCATCCCGGCGCACCGCGCCGACCGCCGGGCGGAGGGACACGCGGGTCAATAAACACCAGATGTTGCGTTGGTTTGAGGGGGCGCTTGAGCAGCCTGATGCAAGAAGACAAAACAAAAGTCGTGTTTATACTTCCTCCATCATTATCGTCCTTGTGGATGTGGAAACCAGTTTATCTTCCTGACCCTGTGGTCGTGCTTTACATGTTGTTTGGTGAAAAGTGGGGCAGTAAAAATTAAGATTCCCCCCCGGCATAATGAATTGATAATTATTCGAATAATCTTGATTACGGCGCGCCAGTGCATCAGATGGAAACAGTGAAAGCATGAGCTTCTGATTTGGTTTAGAACACTGTAATTGTGTGACCGAGGCCTTCTAAGCTATCCAAAAATTCCAAATCAAAGGCCTTTGTTCACAAAAGCTGGTCAAGCCACCTTCGATCTAGTGAGGCATGTTGATGTCCTGCATGCCAACAGTTCTATGCACAGAATGTGTATATTGAAGGCGTATTTTTTTTTTTCTCAAAAATTAGGTCAAGATTTTACCACCTTAAGACATTTGAGGAATCGCAGAAGATTCAAATGTCCGTGGTTCACAAAAAGCTCATCACAAAAGCGTCACATGACGGAGCTCAGCAAACACGTGAGCTGTATTTATTTATTGGTCGTTATTTGAGCCCCAAGTGACTGTGACGTCATTTTCAGTTGACAGCAAGTGGCAAAAAGGCCACCAAGTCACAGCATTCTCTTTTAAAAGCCCAAAAAAAAGAGGACAGCTGCTCGTCAGCTGAGCTTCAGCCAAAAGTCGCCTGTTTTTTTTTTCCACGTGGCTCATCAAACTAATTGGGGAGAAATGATAACAGATGTCAACCTCTGATCGTGTTGTCTCTGGCCGAGCGACATGTTTCAAGAGCCGACGTGTTCCTCCTCTGAGGTTTTCATGTGCGTCTCGCTTTCACATTCCTGTTTCTTATGAACCGCACACTTGTTCTCAGGGGAAGAAATTTGAGATCCTCCCCGACGGGCTGCCCTCGGCCCGGAAGCTCATCTACTACACCGGGTGCCCGGTGCGTTCCCGCCACCTTCTGCAGCTGCTCAGCAACAGCCACCGACTCTACATGAACCTGCAGCCCGTCCTCAAACAGGTCCGCCGGTTGGAGGAACACGAAGGTCGGTCTGATAATCCAGCGAACCGTTTTCAATAGTCCACATTATTATTCCTTAATTCCAGTTTATTTGTCAGAATGGTTGGTTTAATCATATTGAATAATGGTATTGTCATTTGCCTTTTCTATAAGCAAAGGGCACAAAAAATTAATTGGAAATTGGATTTTTGTGAAAGAATTGGCAGATTGTATAACCGTACTGTCTAATTCAGCCCTTTTTGACGTCTGAACTTGAACAAAATTGTATCTTAAAACGCCATGTGCGTCTCACTTTTTTTGCATTAGTAACAGCCTTGGAAGAACAAGCTGATGGTGGTCAGCCGAAAGAGCCACAAAAAGGGAAAAAAAAATATCTGTGAATAATTAACGCCCTCCAAAAGGGGCTTGTAATTGCTTATAACTGCCACAAGAGGGTGGCATTTAAAGTTTTTTAGCAGATTGCATTCCATTTCCACACACAGACAAATAATAATTCGTAAAGGATCATCACCATGCATCAAGCATGCACACAACCATGAACCCATGTTACATAAACATCTAGTTGCAGTAATTCTAATTCTGTTACCTTCACATAAACTCATTGAGAAGCTTAGCTAGCGTACTAGCCTAAATGACATGGGAGCACACCACTGCAATTTGCATAATGTGTGTACGTGTGCTTTCAGAGAAGAAACAGTATCGCGAGTCCTACATAAGCGACGCTCTGGACCTGGACATGGACAACCTGGACAAGCGCTCACGAGCCAGCGGCAGCAGCGGCGGCAGCGTCTCCCGCCACAAGCGTCTGTCCCGCCACTCCACCGCCAGCCACGGCAGCTCGCACACGTCGGGCATCGAGGCGGATAGCTTCCGCGCTTCCCACCCGGCCCCCCACGGGCCCCTAAGGACATGCGGCTCGTCCACCACCAGCCACGGCAGCTCGCACACGTCTGGTGTGGAGAGCGGCGGCAAGGAGCGCATCCTGGATGACGACGGTATGGTTGTTGCGACAACTACCGTAAAAACGCCAAAAGTTGCACACTTTAAAATGAAGCTACTTAAAAATCCATCCATTTTCCCGATCCGCTTGTCCTCACAAGGGTCGCGGGGTGTGAGTAGAATAAAATGACTGTCAAAAACCCAAAGTCGCAAAGGTCGAAATGAAATTATCCCCCCACCCCCGAAGTTGCACAGGCTGAAATGAAACTCTTACATCCCTAAAGAGATTGAGATGCTGGTGGACGACCCCAAAGACTACGAGGAGCTGAGCGAAATGTCTCTGGACCAGGAGCTGTGCATCCACATCACTGAGGACATGTTGACCATGCCCTCCGATCACAACAACGGATTCTCCGGTAAAAACTCCGATTCTTAATCGACGGTGCGATCTTAAAGCTTATTCTGGAGAGCTAATGGCCTCGAATGTGGCGCCGGCAGGTCTCATCGTCAAAGATGTCAGCTCGTCCACGTCCAGCTCCTCCGAGACGGTCGTCAAGATGAGAGGACAAAGCATCGAGTCCCTCCCGCAGGTATCGTTACGTCTAGGCATGTGGTCAACGTGACAATGAATCCAATTGGAATTACGATTACGATTTTGTCTGACAAGATTGAACGAACCTGATTTTTGGCGACATTTACAATTCAAAATGAGGGCTTTGTCGCATATCTAATCAAACACGTTCTCAAAAAGTATTCATCCAACCACCAGGAGGCGAAAGAGTGCTTAACGTTTCATTAAGCTGCCCAAATAACAAGCAAGCGCACCTTGCGGCGGGAGGAGAAAGTCCCTCGGTTGGCCGATGAGAGCGAGTCCCGTCGAGAGAAGAAAGCACTGCAAAAAGCGGAGATGAGGGGCATCGCCGTGAAGAGCGAGTGCCTCAAAATACTTTTTTTGCGTTTTTCATTTTGCCTCGTTGAATTTGGCACAGAAAACCTGTTTGTTGAAAAGTAGCGCAATAAAAATACATCGATTTTCCTTAACAGTGAATAATTGTGATGAATAATCGTGAACACCATCTTGATCAAAACAATCCTGAGGAGTAATTTTGGCTATAATTGGGTTCGGGTGGTCTTTTAGACATACACTTTATAGAGACCCAAACAATAATGACGTGGTGAACTGTATTGTTTCCATTGTGGTGTGGAAGATGCCAGTCATGCGGATTCAAAGACCGAAATGGCGATGTGCGAAAATAAGCAACGATTGCATCGTAGGCAACAATGCGCCAGACGAGAGCGTCATGTGTGACGCTTCGCACCGACTCAAATGGCTGACGTTTGTGTCTTCCCGCCGGCAGACGTCGACGTGCAGGAAGCCTCCGTCGTCCAGCGACCGCCACAGCCAGTCGCTGGACGACGTCCGCTTGTACCAGAAGGACTGCCTTCAGTGGGCCGAGCTGTGCCAGGACACGGCGCACAGCTACACCTTTGGATGCGCCCAGGAGCTGAGCGATGGCGGCGGAAACGGCGGGGCCTACCAGGGCCTGGCAGACCAGTGCGCCGGAATCAAGAGAACCAGCAAGTACTTCTCTCTGGACCTCACCAGTGACGACGTGCCCGAGTTTGTGGTGTGAGGAGCTCCTTTTATTGTTTATAATCAACACGGTGGAATGCAAAAGGGATCGCAGAATACTTAATTGTCGCGCTAACAACCAAAGACCTGCGGAGATGGACGCTTTGGACGCCTCTTGACAGGAAGTGGCAGCTTGCCAAACGCACCGCGCCGCCCGACGTGCCTTCATCCAAGACGCCCAAAACAATCGCCGCCGCCATTTGCGGCTCTCTCTCCACTATTTTAAACTTACCTGGCGCCGTTTCGAGCTTGCTCTAACGCCAAAGGAAGCTTGTTGGTGCCCTTTCGATCTTGCGCAGTGTCATTTTAAACGTACTCTCTCACTCTGCTGTTTCGAGCTGATTCACTTCCCGTTTTAAGCAGCGCCGTTTTAAGATCACTCTGTTGCATTTTAAGTTTACGCCGCACTGTTTTAAGTGGACTGAGTGCCAATTTAAGTTTACTGGGCACCGTTTTAAGTGGGGCCCGACCAATGAATCGGCCGGCCGATTTAATCAGACGATATTAGTTCTTTTTAAAAAAATGGCCAAAATAGAACAAATAAATAAAATAATAAAAGGCAACATGTTGTAAAGCAGTCACATGCGGTGCCTGTAATTCGTATCGTTATTGTTGAAAGTTTTTAAGGGACCAAAAAAATATTTTATTCATTATACTTTTTCTCATTAATCGGCCAGTTAATCAGAATTTTATTCTACCAAATATCAAAATCGGTATCAGCCTTAAAAAAAAAAAAAAAAAATAAAAATTGGTTGTGCCCTATTTTTAAAATTACTTGGCAACATTTTAAGGCACCGTTTTGAGATGATTCGGCACTGTTTCACGTCTACTCTGCACCATTTAAACCTCTGTGCTCTGTGCCAATCTAAGCTCCTTTGCCCTTTGGAGATTGTGCGGTGCTAGTTGAATCTACTCTGCCCCCCTTTTCACCTTCCTCTGCACTTGGCACCAGCTTAAGTTCACTCTGTATAGTTTCAAGATCACTCTGCAAAGTTTGAAGTTATTACGCTGAACCGTTGAAAATGTGCTCTGCGCCGTTTTGAAGCTCACTCGGCATGATTGCGCTTCCTCTTTTAATCTCGGACGTTTTGAGCGTACCCGGTGTAGATTTAAGCTTGTGCCGTGCCAACTGCAGCTGGCTCACTGTAAATTGGAGTTTGATACTTCACCACATCAGTTGACCTTAAAGGTGTTGCCTTTCATTCAGTATTACAAGAAAACATACAGAAACGTGACAGTATTTCGTACGTCAGAGCTTCTATTTTTGGGCAATCTCAGCTTGAAAGGAGACATATACTGTACCCCCCACATAATATCCTACAGTTTCCAGGTGTCTAACATGTCTCTGATGTGCTTTAGTCAAAATGCCCTGAGGATCAACAATTACTTTAAAAAATATATATTACAAATTATTTTATAAAGATGAAACAAAAAAGCAAAGGAACATTTAACCGCACCCGTCTTTGTACCATAGCTATACAAAAACGTGCAGACGGGACGAAAAAGTAGTCGGTCAACACGCAGCTTGCTCAGCTTTAATTGTGCTTTTTTTTTCTACACTGCAGTACCTGAACATGTTTTTGTTTTGTTTTGTTTGTTTCACGATCTACAGGTATATTTCTAACAGGTTGTTTATTTCTACATGTTAAAGGTTGACAAATGTCCTATTTTACAGACAGACACTTCTTACATCATGATTGAGGTACACAGCCATAAAAAAAAACCCCAAAAAACAAAAACCCATTGCTTTTGTAAGAGTCCCTTTTATGTCTCTTAAGTTGTCCTTTCTGTGAAAGGATCTATCTCCCTTCAGGAAAAAAAAATATATATCTAATTTTTTTTTGGGTCAAGTTGTAGCTAAAACAAAGTAGTTTTTTTTATTGTTACTATGAAGTCTGGTCTGTGTGCCTTTTTGGTACTAACGCCTTCAATATCCTATTAAAAAGGTACATTTATTTGCCAAATGTCTGCTATCATGTGATGACTTTGTCCAAGTGTGAAGACATTGTGTTCTGAAATATTTTTTAGAACACAAAATTAATCAGTGTTTGTTTTGGAATGTTCTTGATCGCTTATTGGCAGTACAGCATATCCCTGCTTATTCAAGAATTGGGGGTTGCATTTTTTTTTAATGCCGTTATAATGCCTGTCAATTATGCACAAATGTTCACAAAATCGCAAAAAAAGCAAGCTAAATTCAATGTCACTGAAATAAAATCATATGAAACTATTTTAAATAAGTGACATTTACGCTAACTATAATTTTCACTTTTATTTCAAATGCATTGACTCTATATA